CTAAAGTTCTATTTCAGGAGAAATGTGGGCTTCACATATGCTATTTTTTTAAAGAAATCCATTGAGTGAGTTTGTCCTGTGCCAGAATCATTTCTTGGTGGAAAAAAAATTACTTTGCTATTTCCCAACTCCAGCCTGTATTTTCTCTTGCCTTATTTGCCTCTTTTCTCTTGAGCACCTAAATATTTCTTAATTGAACCGCTCATCCTGCACTCCTCTTATAGCTGTTTAATAGATTAACTCATCTGTGCCAGCTTCAAATTTCAGATTAAAATTCCTTCATCCCGAAGGCAGCATTATCAGGTTGTTGGAGGCTGTTTTCAAACCTTGGTTTTGAATAGCAGCGGCTCTGCATTAATTTAACCACTAAGCTAATAAGTAGGTTTCGTTTTGTTATGCTAAGCTTTATTGCTTTTCTTTTGATCAGAATGGTGTTGTTGAGCAAAGCAGCAGACAAGGCATTCTTTGATGAGGGAATTAGTGCTCTATTCTTCCTCTATTATTCATAGCACAGTGGAATATGTAAGTACCTGAGGGTGTCAAAGGAGAGCAGGCTCTATTGCAAAGTGTTCGCCTTGTTTCTCTCAATAGCTGACTATGAGATGATAAACTGCTTAATACACTGCACTAATTGGATGAGAGCAAAAAGAGATGGGAATTAAGGCAAGGCAAAAAGAGAAAGTGCTACCAGCCTTCATTCACTCTTTCACTACTTTAACAGCACCAAAGGAGGCACAAGCTTTCTATAAGCAGACTAGAGGTTTTGTGCAGAGATAAAATGAACCTGTTAGTGGATTCAAGTAATACACTAATTATTGCACAGTATAAATACCACTACTGGTTTTATAACATGAAGGTAAACTTCTTTTGAGACGGTTATAGGATTGCTTGGCAGTAGTATAGATCCTAATAAGGGACCAGAGTAATAACCCCCCTGGATTAACAAAATTGCTGCTTGCAGAAGTATGATTCTGGCTTTCACAAGATTTCTGCAGAATGAATAAAAAAGACTTGAGTGACATTTCTTAATGTGTAATGGATTGATAATGATTCCCTTTTCTTTAAAGTAAAATATGTACTTGAAACTCTACTGTTAATCATGTCCAGAAGCGTATGTTCTTTTTTCCATATAAAAAAATTGCACCTATGGTGTTTTTTTAAATACATACTCCAAAATACATGTGTGTGTGTGTGCGCGTGCGCGCGCATGCACGCACACACACATATGATGCTGTCAGTTAAATGCATGGTTATTTGGAAGAACTGCACTTTGTTCATAAAAACAAACATGCTGAATAGCCCAGTGTGTGTGAATGTGAACTCAGCGGAGGAAAATGCACCTGAACAATATTTGCCATGCTCACCCCAAAGTGTTTCCCACAAAATCATCCACTGAAAATTCTCATGACTGCCTCATCCCAAATGTCTTTTTTTACAAGAAAAGATGTCTTCTGTTCTTGGCCTACTGCACTATCAGCATATTTTGATCTAAGACTGATTCTTACCCTTAAATTTATTTCACATTACACAGTTTTGTGTGTGTGTTTTTTTAAAAGGGGAATGTGTGTTCGTTGGCTAAAGTATAAGCAGAGCGTGCCGCACGATATAGAAGGGTGCTGCCGGCTAATTCAGCCTAACCACGTAAACTACCCCAGCCTTCAGCGCAAACTCTTTGGTCTTTCGTACCAGTTCAACTAACGCGAAATAGTACTGCCATATTCCTTGAGGAAGCAAAACAAGCACTCGTCTAGCCTCTTCCACCCGTTGTTTACAACCCGGGCCTTTGGAGGTCGAGTAGGAAAAGGGCGCCGAGGGGGTGGGGCGCCTGGGCGGCTCAGCCACTCTCCGGCAGTGAACCGGTGTTGTGGTAAAACCACAAACAAACCCAGCGGCATGTACTTTATCTGTTTGGAGGAACTTTGCCGAAAGCGAATTTTAGGGTGGGAATCGAGGGCAGTCTGCCTCTGTCCCGCGCCTGTCGTGGCGACGCCTGCCTTGAACCGAGCGGGGCTTTCAGGCGGGAAGAATGGGCACAGTTAGATGACAAGGAGCCTGAATGCCCCAGGAGTCCCCCGAGGTAGGTTGTGGGCCGGGCCCCCTCCCCGGCTCCCCTCAAGGGCCCCCCGTCCGCCGCCGCCGCCCAGCTTTCAGGCGAGGAAGAGGTCGTGGGTTCCTCGCTTGGCTTTGAGGGCTTGTCAGGCGTGACATCCCCGGGCCCCCCGTTTAATCCGGGGGAGCTCGCGGGAAGCCCCGGGTTCCTTTTTTGAAGCGTGCGCGAGGGCAGGCCAGCCGGCCTGAGGGTCCCCCCCCAGGACCAGCTGGGAAAGAATAGGGGGCCGCCTTCCTCGCGCTCCGGGCTTGTTTGCCGCTGCCGAAGGACACGGGATTAGGAGGTTTGTCAACCAGGGGCGAGGAGGGCCTTTCAATGGGCCGGCCATGTAATCCCTCGGAGGTAATTTCACGCGATTTGCTTCTGCTCCATGGCGGGGTCAAATGGGGGGAAATGGCTCGGCAGAGAGGGGGGTGAGAGAGAGAGAGATCAGGGAACTCTGACGCGCCTGCCAGCAGCCTCCATCAGCAGCTGCCTCGCCGGATGAGCGGGGAGCCCCACATCCTAGGCGAAGGGGCACGCGGTGGGGGGGGGTGTTGGTCTGAACACAAAGAGCAACATTCTCCGCCGGATCTTTCCATCTGCCCCACCGCCAAATGTACGTCTCCTGACCGGGGGTGGGGGTGGGGGTAGGAGGAGCCTGGGGAAAGAACGGTTTGCCCCGGGCTGGGCAACCGGAAGGAAACGTGAGATGCTCTGACGGCTTTTCTCCCCCCCCAAAAAAAAAATACACGCGCAAACAGCCAGCCCGCCCCCGTCGAGGGGTTTGCGCCTAGAGAGATCCGATCGCGGTCCGAGGCGCTGCCCTCCCATCGGCCTCCCGCCTCCAAATCCGGAGTCCTTCTGCTTTCCACAGCAGGAGAAAGTATGTCTAGGCAAATGTTTGGCGACAAAGAGAACAACTTTGGACGGTCAACGCTCACGTTGGGCTAGAAGCTCTTCTCCACCTTGCCCTTGCCCTGGCCAAGCCATCCGGCGTCGTTTTACTCAGAAAGAAGTCCTTCTGCATTCCGGGAGGGTGGGGGGGAGTGGCGTCCCAGAAAGTGGGCACCGTATCGTCGCTTTGCGTTTCCTTCCTCAGAAAAGTGTCAGGCGGAATTAAATCGGACTGATTTTCAAGTCATGTGCATGGGATGAACATTTCCCTCGCGGTGCAATCTTACCCCTGTTTACTCTGAAAGTAAGTTATTCTATGTCCAGTGCTACTTCTTTCCTGATACAACAGGCTGAGATCCTAAGTCCATTTACCTGGGGGTAGGTAAAGTAGCCTAAGGAGAGGACTGCATTGTCAAGCTATTACTTTTCTTGTGTCCTCAGACTTTTTAACCCACTGCACCTCATGAGCAGGAAAGGAGAACCTTTAGCCCTCCAGATGTTCCTAGCCTGGAGCTCCTATCATTTTTTTTGCTGCCCAGGGCTTATGGGAATGACAGCCACACCGCCTCCTCCTGCCGCCCCCCCCCCCAATTTGTTTCAAATGTTCTAAGAGCTTCCTAGGCTCCTTTCGTTGGGGAGAAATGAGGAATATAAACAAAATGTTAAACTGTGGTTTTATATAAACATATACTATACTAAATTTAACCTAGCATCAAGGTGATGTTTTTCTTCCTTTATGAGGGATGGGATGGACAACCTGAGGAAATGTTTTTAATTCTCTCACTTTTCATTTAGTTATCAGGCAAAAAAAATCTGAAGTTCAGACATCTTGCCATTCTCTCCTTCTGTAAACCCCAGTTTGTATTCTACCTCCCGCCTCCCCGCCTTCATCACCATTATTATTTCCAATGAGGCTGCATTTCCAGGTGTCTTTTAGAATTCTTGATAAATGTATATATATTTTATTTTCTATGGGTGATGCTTTCCCACTTGATCGCAAGGAAAAGTGAGAGCAAGAACAACATTACACAAAAGTACTGTACCAATGTCCTTTGTCTGTCTGTCTCCCTCTCTCCCTCCCTCTCTCTTTTTGGGTTTCAGGAACCTCTATGGTTAATAAGTTAAATAAAAGGTTTGTACATAAATATTTGTCTAGGGCCCCTATAATATCTACAGCACAGTAAGAATCTACAGAAATGACAAACTTGTACAAACACTACACTGAGTGCAATTGTTATATAACATTTCAAATATACAAAGCTCTGGTGCGTGTGTGGTTTTTTTTTCTTTTTCTGCTTTTCTTTTTAATAACAATGGTATGTACAGTTTTTAGATAATCACAGTTTCGTGACTTTTTAAAACAGTCCATATTCTAGCACTGTATTTCCCTTTGGTTTGCTATAAAAACCCTTGGTTGGTGTGATGACAAAAGGACAAAAAAAAAAGAGAGAAAAAGCCCAGGCCCCTTTTGCCTGAAGCGCACGGCCTGCTTTACGCACAGCGTCTGCGTCCTGGGCTTGCCTTGCCGACCCCGCCAGCCTCACCCTCGCTTTCGCGCCTCCTCCCGCTTAGAAGGCTCCGACGCTCTCCGGTTAACGGGGAAGAGCCCAGGGTGACAAAAGGAGATTTTTGGGGGGGGGAAGGAGCGCGAGGTGGGATTGGGGGAGGGGGTTTGGGGCTTTACTGACAGCATTTTTTAAAAAAGCTACCACTCCCTCCAAACTCCTCTCTCTCTCCCCCCCCCGCATCCCCGCCCTAGGGTATCTACTTCTTTGCTGGCCAAGGAATGAACACGGTCGTGGTTGAAAAAGGTACCAGCCAAGGAGGAGCTTCACCTGCGGATTCTCCCGAGGGAAAGTAGCCGCAGCGAAACGCAGGCGCCTGGGCTTTCTCTAAGTTTGTAACTGGAGGAGAAGTTCTCCCTGCCAGCCGATGGTCCTCTGTCCTCTTTGTGTGCGTGCGTGTGTGTGCGCGTGTGTGTTTCTCTCTCTCTCTCTCTTTCTCCCTCTCCCGTTTTGGTCTTGGACTCCTCTTCCTCCTCCTCCTCCTTCCTCCTCGGCGGCGGCGACCTCCGGCAGCTCCTCGGGGCTGCTCAGCACACCTCTTTGCCAGTGCTGGTCCCGGGGAGGATATTGAGCTGCGTCAGCTGCGCCGCGTGCTCTTTCGCCTTCAGCCGCAGGGCCGCGATGCTCGAAGCGCGCCGGTCCGCCGCTGCCGTGGCCGGATCCGAGAGGCCGCCCGACTGCACGGCGCTCTCCACGGCCGGGGCCGGCTGTCGGAGCAGGGCGGCCGCAGTGGAAGCGCTGGTCAGGGGGGCCATGGTAGAAAAGAGCCTGCAAGCGAAGGAAGGAGACACGGCGGGGGTCAAAGCCGAGGCACGTCTCGCGTGGCCCCACCTGTTCCCACGGACCTCTTTCCCGGCCAGTTGGCCAGGAGGAAAGCGGAGAGGGCCAGACTTCCCCCCCCCTTCACTCCTGCCAGCAAAAGCTGCGTCTGCCCGCTTGCTCCTGGCCCCGGCGCTTCCAAAGGAAGGAAACCTAAGGCTGGCGAGCCAAGACCTTGGCAGCCCGACCTGGAAGGCTGTAACGTTAAAAAAAAA